CATTGACAGCTCAGTCTACTTTATGGACATTTTCACAGTTAGGAATAATTTTGATCATTAAGATTAGGTTTAGGATTACAGAATTAGGTTAAGATCAGTGCAGTTATAAGAAAACAAATTTTTTTCTGGGAAATGAGCTGTTGGTGAATCGATTAGATGGACTTGCCAATGAAAGTGACGTCGTGAAAATGTGTAATAAAAACTGTTTCATAATTTTGGGATTAAATTACGTTAGTCGTAAACAAACAATTATCTTAACTGTTAATACTAATTAAACACAAAACTATTAACACATTAAAACGGGTAAAGTATTTGAAGGATTTTTAAGGTAGTTTCAATCTCTAAAAGGATGCAATACTATAGTAATTATAAAAATGGGATAGTAAAAAAAAAGAATTGATATATTGTTTAGGAGATTGTGAAAGGGAAATTGATGGTTGTACCATATATGAACGAGGGCGTCATTTTGTAATATGGAATTAAATTACTGCAATAAAAGTATATAACGATATCACTTTCTTTTCCAAAAAAAGTCTTGTGAGAAAAATTAAGAAAATTTTTTTTTCAATGAACAAAGATTTTTTTTTTAGTAATCGTAAAAGGAAGATAATAAAGAATAATACCCATTAAATTTTACTAATGCAAAAAACTATTAAAAAAGTTAAATATGCATACGCATGCACGTTGTTTTCTTTACAGATTATAAAAAAAAAACATAGTCTAGAATTTCTTATTAAAATTAATTGTAGCACCAATTAAATGATATTTATTTTGATTAACGTTAATGTATAAATCAAGACTAGAGTTTTCCATCGAATCATGTATACCGGAAAAATCCGATTTAATCATATGATGATCCGAAGAGATTCGGATTTATCCAACTAATAATATGAATCCGTTTATATGGTTATTCAGTATACTAAAATTGGATTAAAATTCCGGGAGTAAAAATGATTATCATTACTCAATCATCTAACATACACAGTACAAACCGTATGTATGAAAAGTACCAAGCTTTACTTGTTATTGGCAATAAAAAAGCGCCACGGCTATTATTTTATAGAGTTATCCCGGTCACATGTAACCATAATGTTTTTCCGTTTAGCATTACGGCTTAATTTAGTGTAATCGGATTTATCGGATTTATTCCAAAAGCTAACTAATAATAGTTAAAATAATGTAATAACGATTTTTTATGTACAGTACATATATATGCATATAAATACTGTACGTTATGTAATGTAATATGTATTATATCTAAAATTACATCTGGCGTAATTTAAAGTTTACCGACTTGGAAAATACGGTAAACTCCGGCAAACGATATCGATGTCGGTGTGTAGATTTTTATGCATTACATGTATATTTTCTTAACGCATATACAGTACGTACAGTACGTATATCGTATTTTTAGAAACTATTTTTCTACATAAAAAATGATAGTTGAATAAAGTTTTATTGGTATTTTTGTGTCAATAAACCGTACTTTTTTATTGGTTTTTTTTTTTTAGTGGAAAAAAAAATTTCATACAGTAAAAATCCAAATAATAGTATGAACTCTTTTTGTCAAATAGGAAAAATTCAAAAACCACATGTAAAATGAAATTTTATATTTGATGTATGTTAAATTTATTTATTATATAGTACAAATGTTTTTTTCTGTATAGTCTAATAAAATTATTTAGCAATTTTTAAACTACAAGGTTATTGAGTAAGTACAATTTAGCTAGAAATACAATAAATTCCGCGCGAATAATGAATAGAAATCCCTTACATAATAAATTCATCTACGGACAGGGAACAGCAGGTTCATGGTTTAATAAATTAAAAAGCTTAGGAGTAATAATAGGTGTAATGGCTGATTTAGGTTTAGGTCCTCTTTTTTTATCTGATTTCTCATATACACATTCCCTATCACGTTTACGACAATTTTCACATGGCTTTCCTCCAGAACATTTTTCTTTTTTGCTACGACAATTTGTGCATGCTAATGTTACGTAGGTTCTGCTTTTTGTTGTCTTGTTTACTTTAGAATGTGAATGCGAGTTTATTTTGAGTAATTCTTCATTGAGGTTATTTGATGAGACGTAATTGGAATGCATTTTTCTTTATCTTTTTTTTTTATTAAAGAAAAAAACGGTGAAAAATTTCTTATAAATTTATATTTATTTCTTATTATTTTCCGTGGATTGATTGAATTTTGATTTTAAAAAAAGGCTGAAAAAACTTACCTTTATATATTTTCAATTTCGGAATATTGGTGGGGGCAATTGCTACAGTGTAACGTAGCACAAGTTCGTTACACATTCCTGAAGAATCTAGATTTCGTTTTTGTACGTACACATTATGCATTTATAATATATTTATAATACATATTAAATTCAAATGAATAGATTGTAATTAGCTTTATAAATATTATAATTTCGGAGAAATTTATGTGATTTTTATGCTGAAAAAAATCAGAAAAAAAAAAAATAGATAGAGAATGCGTGGAAAAAAATAAAGATTTTAGGCAAGTTCATGATGAACTACTGCATAACTGACTGCATGTATGGGTTAAGCGAATACTGTAACACTTTTCCAACTACCAAAGTAATTAAAAAGTGATAAACGCATTTCAGATATGACATGATAACATCTCGCTCTAATATACAGATATACAGTACTGTAAGTGAGAACAGAATTTAAGTAATTTTAAGTGGGTTTAAAAATATTTCAATAAATTTTTTTTTGCATAAACTTATGCCCTGATAATCCTTAGCTTTCTTTTATCATTTAATTTAAATACACTTTTAAAGTATTGTTCACATTGAGAGATATCATAAAATGGGACAACCGGAAGAATTTAACAATGTATTTTATGGAAAGCAGTAACTACATTAATTGTTCCTGTACACAGCCTAATTTTTAAAAATCCTTGTACACGACCATCTGATTGCTATTTCTTAATTTTATTTTATTTTATTTTATTTTACTGATTACTGATAAAAGGTACAAACAAACAAATTTACACACCGAGTTTTGATAAAAATATTGCAATTTAATTTTTACTAAAAATACACCACATTTTTATAGTAGTTTATTATGATTTGAATAAATAGCTTAAAAGGGTATTAACAAATTTTCATTAACAACTAAGATACAAAAGGTGCTTAACTTATCTTTAAAACCTTTTCAAATTCTGAAATTAGACGCTTAAACTTTCATAAGTCACTAGATTATACACGTATTTATCACATGTAAACAACAATATTAATAATCCTTCAGATATATACAGTATATATGATTTTCGGATATATAACCTCCGTATACAGTATATAACCTTCATATTTATGATATATGGATATATATTGTATAACATTCTAAATTTAATTATTTTACAAGGAAAAATATTTTAGCAACAGGAAAAATCTTTTGGCGATGTTACCGATGTTACTGATGCTACCTATCTACTGTCGTACAATTTCGTCATTGTTTATTCTTGTAAAATCTTATATATTTATTCCGCATTGTTACACGTATTCCACAAATAGAAATTATTGACAAGTCTCTTTTCAGGAACGCGTATTAAGATAGCATTTAACGCAACTCGTATTATCACAATTCTGTATTGCCATGTGCAATGCAGTAATTATATTATTTAATCATTCAACTCAATAACGCGAATAAATAATGAAATTGTCAACGCGAATAAAATAAGGGCATAATTTATTATTCTCACATACAATCAAATGATTGTTATCTTACATAATTCGGAATAATTATTTTTTAAAAAAATATAACTAATTAGAACGTTTAATACTAATTTACTTTTCTATTAATATCGGAATAACATTTGTCACAAGTCGATCACAGGGATATAATTATCGTGATTTTATTGTATGATTTAGTCGTTTGATGCATTGACGTGATTGGTCGTAATTTATCATATGGTTTATCGTATGATTTAGTACGTACGTAATCTTACTGACATAATGACGTAGTAATTTTGATTAGTAATCGTTTATAATATTTAATAGAAAGATGATTTAAATATATACTATCTAATATCTAACTCAAACTTATACATAAAGGAATGGGGTTTTCCTTATAAATTATTTCTGTTTATTTTTGCTAACCGGAATTTGTCTGGTTTTTTTTTTCGTTTCACCCTAACAAATGTCGAGACGACAGGAATTTTCTTGCATTTGTGACGTAGCACTAGTCTAATTTTGGTTAGCACAATAATCAAAACCGGTTTTTTTTTTATCCGCCGGCAAAATATCCGTAAATGATAATACTAATAGTAAACAGTAGTATGATGTATAGGTTGTTCATAAGATACTCTCAAATTCTGCAATGTTATTATGCGTAGGGCGGAATACCTGTAGTTATTTTTCATTGTAACACCCCTAGATAAGAGACAAGGTAAAAAGTTATTTAAATCTTTGTCTCGAATACATAGTGAAATGAGTTAATTAGTAAAGTACTGTAACTTTGTGTATGAAAATGCGCATTATCTATAACAAAAAGTATAGATTAAAAATTCATTGTTAGCTTCGAAATTCTTGCGCAAGCTGCGCGGCCTGTGCGTGAGTTACAACACAACCTGCGCGTATGACTATTTTTATCTCTTATTGAAAAGATACCATCTCAGGTCAGGCTATCACGATCGGCCGTGTTATACGACTTTCGTAACAATAATTTCCCATTTAGTCATTATTGTAATTCGATTATTATATTCTCATAAAAAAAAACACAACCCATAAATGAAAATGTAATAATAATTTGAATTAAAACATATAAAGATACAGTTCAAACTGTAATACTAGCTCGGCTTAATTTTACTTCTGCTTTAGTAAATCTGAATAATAAAAGATTACATTAAAGTTTAATGGAAAGCTAGAAGCTTGGCTAAATAACTGCTCATATCTGATACAACAATAAATCTAACGCGAATAAACAAAAGTAGCTACAAATTACTTTATTAATATGATATAATAAGGTGATTCTTCAAACAAGGGTAATAAAGGATAATGCATATTTAGTAATCATATCAAGTGGCGTGATCATCTGATTGAGTCAATAAATTAAAAAATTTTCAATAGAACCGGAATTACTTTAAAATTTCAAAGAGTTCAATTTTACTAAATACAGGAAATAACGGATGATGCTTTATAAAATATTATACAATTAATATATATACAATGAATTATAATAATAAATATACTATGAATTATAATAATAGTAAATATACAATGAATTATAATAATAATATTTTTTTAAATCCGATTAGTCAAGCTTAAATATTTCAATTCTGATTAGTCAGGATTAATGATTTTTTACATCCGATTAGTTTGAGAAAAACTTATTGTACGCAAATGTAAAATTTGGTAAATTTAGTACACAAAGTCTATTATAATAATACCGGAAATTTCGGTTTAAAGCAAATTCCGGCGCAAGTTTAAGTAGTCGGATATTATTAATTTATTTAAAAAATTTCGTTACGTAAAAAAAAGTAAGTTACATCATTGTATAATTCGTTGCACTAGTAGAAATTCCGTGCTATTGTACAATAAGATTTAACTACAAATGGAGAAATGGTGTATTAAAAATTGTAAGATATCCCCGAACTGTTTTTTTTTCTATCGTGAACTACTCCAAATATAAATATCTTAATTATATTAAGTTAAAGAGAATTTTAAATTTCTCAGGCTATTTCCAAGACATTCCTATCCTATGCGTTTAATTGAAAGCGCCCAAATTGTTAAAACATTACTTGAAATTACCTAAAACATGTGACATAAAATATGCGTACAATAACTTAAAAGGTAATAGGAGGTATTACGTGCATAATAAGTTCTTTGTTTATGGATAATTTATGATCACCAATATTTCCTTTTTGGAAAACTATTGTAATGTAATGTAATGTATAAAATATTTCTAATTTCCGAGATTTTTATAACTTTTATTCACATATATGTCATTGTTCCATCATTATATTGTTTACAGAAAAAAAGAAAAAAAATAGAATTTCAGATCTTTATTCAAGTTAAAACGTTGTTTATACACCTTATCGTCCATTTATGTGTTTAGAACTTACCTTCATACCATCGTGGAGTCGGTGTTTCCAAACGTCTATTTAACTAAACCTGTCTAACAAATTTTTATGCAGGTATTAAAAAGGTGTGATACTATAGACGCATTTGTATTAGTTTTTTTTACTAAAATGTCACTTTCTCTCGAGTTCAAAATTTTTCTGTTATCAAAGTTATTATTAATCTCCTATATTCAAAGTAAAAAAACTTATACACATGTAAAAATGCAGGTTAAAAAAATTATGTAATAAAAAAACGAACTGTTATATTTTTCCTAATGTTATCTATCATACAAGTCAATATGAACACGAAATACTTTATTGGTTTTAAAAGGATCGGAATTATAATTATGCGCCAAGTATTTAGGCACCGTTCATACTCTTAAGTTTTTTTTATTCCTGATATTATAAATAAATACTGCTATGCACAATAATAGAATTTTCTGAATTTAGTTAATTAATAAAGATATACGCATATTGTACCTTTGTGGTATCTTGCACCGATAGTGAATCTTTGGTTACATGCGCAGTTTTGTACCGTTAGTTACGTATTAAATTTTATGACTGCATCGTTATTATTAAAGAATATTTATTTATTTGCTCATTCGAGCAAACGTAAACTTATTATAGCAAAATTCGGAATCATTAAAGCATTTTCATTTTTCAATTTAAATCCATTAAAAGTTATTCGTTATAATGTTTTTTTTTGTTTTTTGAAAATTTTCACCAATAGTTTTATTATATTATGCTTTATTGTGTATCTTTTTTTGGGAAATATTGTCCAGAAACATAAAGATTGAGATGCAATCATTTTGCGCGGTCTCTACCTCTACACTGTACGTACGTACGTTACTAATCTACCACTGTTTATTAGTATTGTACGTACGTACGTACGTAGCTATTTACACAATCATCCTCGCTTTAATCCACAATGAGTCATCATGTAAATACTGCGGCTGAAGATGAGCGCAAAAATAAAGCTATCAAATTTATTATATTAAAAAAAAATCAATTAGTTTTTTTTTT